TCATGGCTAAGCATGTTCACTTGTTGAACAATTTCTTTCATTTGTCTCCCTTCCTCCAAATAAAGGTTGTGGCTATGGGTACCTAACTGAGCCTAGGCTGTGCATTTCATTTTTTAAGTCGAAGAAATTTTTTTTGTTTCAAAACTACTGAGTGTGCATGCTCCCTCAACTGTTTTTTTGTTACATTGCATACTGTAAAAGTTGCTACTTACTGTGCTCATCTGGAATGAGAAACATTTACTGTTTTGGTTCCATTTTCCCCCATTCTCTCTCCATTGATCTGTTTAATCACTGACTCTTTTTCTTAACCTCACTATCTTCATTTCCAGCAATAGGTTGTATAATATTCATTACAAGCCCACGAATACCCACAGATATTTCGACTACATTTCCTCACCCATAGCTTTCTGCATGGATTCCATTCCAATGTCTCAGTTTCCTGGTCTGTGTTGTGCCTGTTCTGATGATGCTGTCTTCAGCGTTCCTTCCAATATGCCTGTCTTCCTTTTACCAGTACATTCCCTTACCCCCACTTGTGGTTGACAGGGCCCTCAAATGTGTCTGACCCATTTCATGCACATCTGTGTTCTTCCCTTCCCCACACTCCCAGAGCCATGATATCATTTTCTTTGTCCTTACTTTCAACTTCATTAGTCACATTATTCCATTATTCATTCTCCACCATGTCCAGCATGATTGCACCATCAACACATCTTAGCCTTTGCATTCTTTCCATGGCACCCTGGATAATTTCTCTATCACCCCTAACACCACCCAACCACATTCCCCGCCCACCCCCCACTACCACTGTATCTTCCTATACAACCACGGGACAGTTTTGTTTTCCATCTCACCTTTTTCATCCTCACTGTCCAAGATCCTAAACATTCCTTCCAGTTGAAACAGTGATTTACTTGTATTTCTTTCAATCTAATCTACCATATGGAAGAATCTGACCTCATCTTGGCATCAGTCTATGATGAAAATTTAAGTCACGATCATCCTTGTGAGGGTAATGACTCCTTGGAATATAAAGCATTTGGAAGTTTAATACTGTGCTGTCGTTGTATTGCTCTTTGAAATTTCGCAGTGGACATTTCAACATGGAAATATTTCATTTTGTTACACCTGTCATCAGTACTAATTTTTCAATGTTTCCGTTTATATTTTTATTCCAGCATCAGACAGTGAAAGCAGAGAGGTTTTGCACGCATACAATCTTATCAGTGCACTTGCAGCCGTAGTTCAACATTACAGTACGACTCCAAATGAGCAGGTTGTACTGCAGGTATGAATCAACTATAACAGTCCACTATTTTTCTAGTTGCAGGGGTTGAGAGGGAAGGATTCATCTCGCTTGATGTTTAATTATTAGAATTTTGGAATATTTTTATTTTTCTACTTCAGACCCAAACCATCTTGTTGACTGCCCTTTTTGATATTTGAGCATTTAGCAAGACCTCCGACTCCTCATAATAGCTTTTAACCCTTAATCTGTCAAGCAGTGTAAAGCAGAGTAGTGAGTTTGGAATTTATTTAATCCCAACCTGTTGATAGATGTAACTTTGCTTGTAATTAAGTTATTTTATTTGGTATCAAGAATCTGTCTGAAAACAAGTGTCACATAAATATAGTTATGCCTCTACTAGTAAAATTCAATGGCAGTTTATTTATTGCTCTTGAAAATAATTCATAAAAATTTGAGCACCAGAAATTTTTATTTTCTTTTTTAATATCTGTATTGATTGCAGTTTTGAGTTTTAATAAATTTTTTGACTTTTTTTAAACAGAGCCTGCAGCTTCTACAGAAAATGACTTACAATACCAGAGTTTTTCATTGTAGTGCAAATATTGATATACTGATTGCGTTTCTGATGAAACAAATGTAAGTTTTTAACTATTGTACTGGTATTAACAACTTGAATAGTGCAACTTGTGTAACATGCACCTTTAATATTGCCATGGTATTGAAGTTTTCACTTGTCATCATCATCATGCCTTAATTGTTGGTGACAGTTTCCAGTTGCTTCCATGTTACTCATCCCTTCAAAACTACCTGGCTTTTCAGTATTCTTGTCTTCAACAAACAAATTACTGTGTATCCACCTTTCCCTGTCCTTAGTCCAATAAGCTCTCCTTATCGCAATTTGTTTCCACCTTATTACAGTGAATAATTGTTATGTTATCTTAAATCTCCACTAGACTGCTTACTTCCAGCTAAGCACTTTGCCCCAACATCCTTAAATATGTTTCAATGATGCAAATACATGAAAAGAACTTTCTCAACCTCTGTTAAAATTCCTCCAATCCAATTTCCAATCTACCTAAGGTGCAAAGACTAATCTGGTCAATGTTGCTGAAACCTTTATGTTGCATTTCTTACATTTAGCATTCCTCAACATTTCATGTTTTCAACTACCTTTTCTGTACAGTCTGTTTTCCTATTGTTCCATGAAAATATATGCTTGTGTACTAACAATTTCACATCCCATAATCACTGTCCTCTCCCATTTTTTGAGGTTCTAATTCTTGATTCTCTTCCATACATTATTTATGGTTTGTGTCAGTGAAGTTGTTAAGGATCAAACAATGGGTAAGTTGCTGTATACATCCATTGACAGCCAAAACCAACTGTCTTCTGCTACAAGGAGACCTTTGGGGTTACCCTTCTGATTACAGTATCAATCAGTACTTGGATGTGTCAGAATTTTTTTCAACCTAATATCAGCAAAAAATAAGGCTGCGGCGTTATTCTTTCACCAGAACTTGCATGCCTCTGTTCTCTGACTCTCTGCCAAGTTGCTTTCCTGCTTAACATTCAGTCCATCATCAACATGACATTTTTATCCCATAGTATTGTCTGCCAACACTTCTGCATCTTTATGCCTGCTGAATCCATGTCTTCACTTTTGCAGTTGATACCTGCAAAGCTTTCCATGCATGCATCCAATTCGCACCACAGCATTCGGCCAATTCAGAACTCTATGTTTTGTCTCCTGTACAATAATGCCAATCACACCCAACATTCCTGTTCAGTTTTATGGTTTTAAGATGTGAAATGCCAAGTTTTCATCTTTCTTTTTTAGGCTAAAGAAATACGACACATATTATTGGAGTTTGTGTTTCTTCAAAAATCCTGTTAAGGGCAATAGTAGTAAATAGAAATGGTTACAAAAATAATAGGAAGCGAATATGGTGGGCTGCATTATCTAAGATCAGGAAATTAGACATTGGTTCATTTTGCAATTTTTGTGTTGTAAGAAAATTGCACTGCTGACTAGAAGGAGAAAGTATTGTAGTTTTGGGCACCAGATAATCAAGCTCAGAGGAACATAGTGACCGCTAAAACTGTAGTAACAGCTGTATAGACAAGCTGTAATCACCCAATCTAGAAAACAGATGTGTATCTTCTCATGCTTACTACCTGCTATGTAGATATACTGTGCATCACAGAAAATGCAGTTGTTTTGAGGCCTCTTAATCCCTACTTATTCAGGGAAATGTCTGTAAACACATTTGTCATGCGTCTCAATTTAGTAGTCTTGTTAAGTTTGGGGCATTGGTTTTCAAATGGACGAAATGATGATAACGTTATTTCATGTTAGAACAAATTGTACGCATAAAATCTAATACATCTAATTTCATTGTTTTCAACAAGTAGTAGTATGCAACCATATTATTATGCTATCAATTGTTTGAAGATTTCAATTGGAGATATTTCTCAACAGTTTTTAAAAGCGTTAGCCAGTTTAAAAGTAGCCATGTATTAGGCTTCTTAACAAGATAAGAACCCATTGCGTTGGAGTTCATTTTAAAGTCAGGGGTAGCGAATTGGCTACAAATAGAAGGTAGAGAATTGGGAAAAGGGCATTTTCAGGATGGCAGCCTGCGACTAGTGCCAAAGGATCAGTGTTGGGGTGACAATTATTGTAAATGACTTGGATGAGGAAAGTAAATGTTCGAGTTTGCAGATGAAGCAAAAATAGGTACGATGGACAAGTGATAAGGATGACACAATGTCAGCAGAAGGATGCAGACAGGCTAAGTGAGTGGGCAAAAACTTTATAGATGGAATACCATGCCAGAAAATGTATGGTTATGCACTTTGACAGGAAAATTAGCAGTGTGGAATATTATTTAAATTGAGGAAGACAGCGATTTGGGAGTCCTTGTGCCTGAATCACAAAAACACTAGTATCCGTGTTCAGTAGGTAATAGGGAAGACTAATGGAATGTTGGCCTTTATTTCAAAGGGAGAATATAGAAGTCGGGAGGTTTTGCTTAAACTGCACAAAACACTAGTCATACCAGGGCAGGGATACAGTTTTGGGCCCCATTTGTAAAGAAAAGTTTACTGATGGTGAAGATAAGCAGGAAGTCTTTAAAAACCAGTAGACGACTACTTAAAAATAAGCAGTAAAAGGGGAGAAGATGAAATATGAGGGTAAGCTGGATGAAGGAACTGATGTCATTGTTCCTAAGTTTGCAAATGACAAAATGATAAATGGAGGAACAGATATGTTGGGGGAATCTCGTGGAAACTTACATAATACTGAGAGGCCTGGATAGAATGAAAGTGGAGAATATGTTTCTACTACTAGGTGAAATTAGAACCTGAGGTCACAGCCTCAGACTGAAGGGGTGGCCTGTTACAGTTGAGATGAGGAAGAATTTCTTCAGCCAGAGGGTGGTGAATCTGTGGAACTCATTTCCACAGAAGGCTGTAGAAGCCAAATCATTGAATGAGACGTGTTCTTGATTAGTAAGGGCATCAAGGTTATGGGGAGAAGGCAAGAGAATGGGGCTGAGAAACATATCAGCCATGATTGAGTCTGATCAGCCATTCAGTGGGCCAAATGGCATAACGCTGCTCTTATATCGCGTGATCTTATGGACATTGGGGTCAGTCGACAGAAAGTTCATTAGGCTGATACTGCGTGTAGATGGATTGTATTAGAAGAGATTGAGCAGGTTGGGCATGTGTGCACTGGAATTTAGAAGAATGATTGGCAACCTCATGAAACACAAAAGATTCATGGAGGACAGGATAGATCCAAAAAGGTTGTTTTCCTTTGTGGGAGAATCTTGGATCAGATCATAATCTCTCAGAATAAGGGATTGCAGTTTTAAGAGAGAGAAGGAGGAATTTCTTCTCTGAGGGTAATGAATCTGAGGAATTCTTTACTGCAGAGGGCTACTGAGGCTGAGTTATTAAGTATGTTCAAGGCTGAGATAGTCTAATTTTTAGCAAGGGAATCAAGAGTTGTGTGGATAAGGCAGGAGAGGGAAGCTGAGTATCAGATAAACCATGATTTTATTGAATGGACGAGCAGACTCGATAGGCTGAATGACTTGCTTCTGCCCCTCCATCTGATGGACTAAAATTCAATCTGTTTATCTAAGGTTATCAGGGTTCTGCTTTAAAACCTGTACACTTAAGCAGACCAGATGTTACGTAGCCAAGTGTCAACCAGCTCGAATTTGTTGGTTATTTTGTAGGAGAATGACCCAATCCAAGTTTATTTGAAAGCTTGGTATTAAGTATTTTGTAGTTGATAACTTGCATTAAAATGACAGCTTGCTATCTTAAATGGAATAATTCCAGATGAGCTAATTTAATGTCAATTCTCCTTTTAATGTAGCCAAGCTCCAGAAGATCAGCTAACTATGCCATGTCTTGGACTGATGGCAAACCTGTGTCGTCACAACCGGTCTGTTCAAGCTCATGTAAAATCTTTGGTGAGAACTTTATTTATTCCTTTAATCTAATGTGTCAAATCAAGCAGCCTCGAGATAGGGATTTTGAACCTGTTAGAAAAAGTTTTCAGAGAAAGTGTTAAGTCCAAATTTAAGCACTTTCACAAAGATGCAGAAAAACAAACCAATATGATTGCATAACCCTTTAGATTAATGTAATGTTGCTAATAATAATTAACTTTTTGTGCATTGGATTTGATAACTTATTCATTCCTCTTCTACGTAAGCGGAGCCTGCTTAAAATGAGAGTAGATCAAATGAATAAAATCTCCTTTTTGGTGATCACCAGTTTTTGGAAAGTTGCTCTTGAGAGAGTGTCTGTGTACTAAACTGAAATAATTGGAGTAAGTTCCAACTTCTGGTCTGCTCAGAGATAAAATTGTCCCGGTGAGTTGAACAATTTAAATGAAAGAGTTGAGAGAACTTTTTGAATAGCAAAATAACTTTCTTGTGAGAGGTGGATGTATCAGGCAAGGAATTAATTACCCATTTCTAGTCCTTGAACAGAGTGGCTTGCCAGACAGTTAAGAATCAACCACATTGCTATGGGTTTAGAGTCACCTGTAGCTCAGACTGGGTAAGAATGGCAAATGTCCTTCACTGAACAACATGGTGTTTTACAATAATTGTTAACTGTTAATTCCAGATTTAATTGTATTTAAATTCCACTAGCTGATGTGGCATTTGAACCAGATTGTTAGCCTAGGCCTTTGGAATACTAGTCCAATTACTTTACCACCGTTGCACAGCTCTCCTTGTACAGCAGTCTTGTTTTACTTGCTATACTTTGAAGCTTTGTTCTATCTCATCAGGATGGATGGTGTTTTGGCTGCCTTAGATTGGACTTCAAATGAGAAACAATATAACCAGTGGCCAACTTGTCTGACTGGAGGCAGCAGCAGGAGGGTAGTGCAGATCTATTAATTGAATTTAAATTCCATCCAGCTGCCAAGGTGGGATTTAAATCGATGTCCTGAGAGGATTTAGAGTATTAACCTGGGCATCTGGATTACTTATCCAGTGACATCACTTTATGCCTGCATCTTCCCCTTATTGAAACCTGAGAACTATACATACTTTGTGATGCAATATTCAGTCGTTTCATAAAATAACTGCCTGGGACTGTTAGAGGCAGTTTCAGTTGAAACGTTTGGAAGGGAACAAGATTCTTATCTGGAAAGAAAAATGTGCAAGGTTACAGGGCACTGAGTGAAATGCTAATTTTGTGAGTGGTGCAGACAACAATGGTCCAAATATCCTTTCCCATGCTGTAATAATTCTGTGATTCTTAATAGTTGGGGGGATGTTTGATTCCTGTGTCACAGGTTTCATTCACCTGGGTATTCGTCCATGTGTTTGATCTTTTTGTTTTAACCGAGATGGTAGGGTTTTTGTGTTAGCTAGTCATGAGCTAGATCTGTTCCTGAAACCATTTCTTAATAGCATATTTTACAGCACCAATTTAGAGACAGATTTAAATCAACTACGTTTAAATGTGAGGTTTGTTTCTGCACAGGTCAATGTCAATTAATGTAATTTAAACTAGCAATATCAAATTTAAGCATACATTTGAATAATAAATTGTAAAGTATTTGGGGAGCAATTGGTTAAATATTCGTTCTCCACTTTTGTGTTATTTCCACAGAATCACTTAAAAGGATTTTATCGGTCTCTTATTAAATTCTTAGCTCATAGTAGTTTGACAGTGGTGGTTTTTGCACTTTCTATATTGGCGAGCCTAACCCTCAATGAAGAAGTTGGAGAAAAGGTAAGGCCTGAAATATGTTTCATTGAACTTGTTCTTTACCCTTGAATAAAAGTATATGTTGTGATACATTTCACTGCCAAGCATTTTATGAGCCAATTATTGAGTAATATTACACTACTATCTATTTTCTTAAGCATGTTTTCATCTTTTAAAACCATAAGATATAGGACTAGGCCATTCCATAAGATCATAGCTGATCTGATAATACTCTACTTTCCTGCTATATCGTCATAACCATTGATTCCCTTAATGCTTAGAAATCGCTCTATCTCAGCCTTGAAAATACTTGATGACTCAGCCCTGACAGCCTTCTGCAGTAAAAATTCCACAGATTAATTACTCTGAGGGAAAAGAAAATGTCCTCCGGGATTATGCCCTCTGATCCTAGCTTCTCCCACGAGGGGAAACAACCTCTGTATCTACCCCCTAAAAGTCCTTTGTATCAATAAGGTTTCCCTTCATTTTTCTATCTAAACCTTTTGCTTGATAAGCCAATAGATACAAATGTCAATAGCACTTCTTTACAGTCCTCTCACCAGAGAGAATTCCCCTGTCTATCAAATCTATAGTGCTTAATTTAACATGTTTCAATGACCACAGAGCCATACAGCACGGAAACAGACAATTTGGTCCAACTTGTCCGAGCTGACCAGATATCCCATTCTGACTTAGTTGCATTTGTCAGCATTTGGCGCATATTCCTCTAAACTCTTACTATTCGTATACTTAAGAACCTCATAGCCTCTTCCTTGAGTCTTCATACAACTGAGCTTAGACTTTTTCAGCTTCAGGTGACCTCTTCAGAGTTAAAATGAACCATTTATAATCCGGAATTTTCAAACTTAACAGTTTCCACCAAGGTAACCTTTTAGTTTTAAACTGTCTAAGCTGTCTCCCTTCTTCAGGATAAATTGTTTTACACATTCAGTTTCAGCAAATCCACAACTAAAGGGCTTTCTTCATGCAATGGATGTTTCTCCAAACCAAAAAAAAATGCTAATTCTGGATCCTTCTATCTGAAAACTGATGCACAACTGGGTAATCTGTTCACTCGGAAAACTCACCCAATGAAAAGAATATCCTGTTATTTTTCAGGAAGTTCTTCTCTCATATTGTCTTTTAAATGAAATCATCATGGGTACAGAAATGGAAATTAGTTGTTAAATCTCTCATAGAAACATAAACACCCACATGCCACTAGTTGAAAAACCAATCTCCAAAACAAAAGACATTGATATATATTATATACAAAAATCACACAGCTTGCATTGCATAAGCTTGAAAGTATAGTGACAAAAATAACATGAGGAAGATGCAAGTGTTCGTTGTAAGGTCTTTAAGGCAGTAAAATCTTTCATGATACTTCACAAGAAAGTAATTGAAAGAAGATTGTAAAGGAAAGAAACCTGAAATTTTAAGGTTTTAAGAACCATGGTTTAAAATAGAAGAAAGAGGCAGATAATCTTAAGGAAATAATCCCAAAGTTTAAGGCTTAGATGGCTGAAGGCAGGACTGCTCGTGTTGGGAGTAGGTTGGGGTCAGTGTGAACTAGAGTTGTAGGAGCAGAGCTCCAAGAGGGTTGTACGGCTGCTGGATATTAGAGATATGGAGGAGGCAAGGACATGGAGATATTTGAAAGAAATCAGAATTTAAAAATCCTGCTCTTGGTGGGCTGGAAGTTATCATAGTACAACGACAAGACGGTTAATGACTTAGGATATCAGCAACAGAGTTTTAGGTGAACTGAAGTTTTATGAAGTGTAGAAAATAGGAGGTCAACCAGGAAAGCATTTGGCTGGAGGAATCAAAAACGTGGATTGTGGTTTCACCAACAATGGACTTGGCAACAGGCATGTATTGAGAAAGTGGACCATAGGCACAGCTCCAGGTCTGATATGTCATGGAAGTTACAAGTAATATGGTTTCAGCTTGAAAAAGTGGCCAAGAAGGAGACTAAAATTGGTGGGGGGCCTGATGGAGCAGTAGTGAGTGAACAATTTTAATCAGAAATCAAGACCCAATTGCACATAAAGGTATTGTTGGATGTTTGTGTGTCATGAACGTGTAGTTAATGCTTGCGGAGGCAGAGTATAAAATACCACATAGAGATTCCATGTATACCTTCTGACTGTCAGGAATAAAGCTTCCTAGAGTGCTTTTAGGGAACTGTTACATGTTAAGAAGCAGAGTAATCTATTCAAATTATTGTAGGTATGTTGGTTAATAGAATGAAGTATCAGCATATCCACTTATTCTGTTTACTTTTTTTTGAAAATGCAGCTGTTTCATGCCAAGAATATCCATCAGACGTTTCAGCTTATATTTAATATTCTGGTGAATGGAGATGGAACATTAACCAGAAAGTATACTGTAGATCTTTTGATGGATCTCCTCAAGAATCCCAAGATTGCAGATTTCCTCCAAAGGTAGTGTGTCTTTGCTGACATTATATGAAAATTGCACCTGTTGACATCTAATCAGCAAGCACCTAATGCCACATAACAATAGTATAGTTCTACACATTTTTTGAATCATTAGCTATGAATCTAATCTTTCAGCCGTAAATTAGACACTTTTATTGTTAGTTATTTTAATCTGCATTACTTTTTTAAGACCTTCGGAACAATTGTGAAAAAAGAAGGAAAGTCTAAAGAGTGTACTGTTGGACTTTTCAGTTTTTCTAGGCTTTCAGCAATTGTCAATTTAAACTCCTGAGATGTCTACCTTTTCCCTTGCAATCAACTTAAAATTGAATCTCACTCCAGAATTGAAAACACGTTCCAAGATAATATTCCATGCATAACTGATAGAGTACTGCTTTGTCAGCTGTGATATTTTGCAAATTGCATATTATAAAGAGGCTCTGTCAGCTATTTTTAGGTGAATTTAAAAGATTCTTACTATCCAAGGGCATGAAGCAGGCTTGCTTAGTGTTCCCACCAATGTTCATCCTTCCAAAATAACTTCATTGGTCATTTCTCACTTTGTTTATATAAATTTGTTCCTAAAGTAATTAATTGACTGATGGCCTCGGAATGTGGAAAATGTTATATAAATAAAAGTTTGTTCTTTGTATTTAACTACGTTTATGGAAATTTATCAGGAGGGGAGATTTGTCTGATTATAATAAAACAATTAAGCAACTTCAACAACTTTAGCACAATGATAGCACGCTAAACTCTGAATCTCAGATTTTCGATTGAATTTTTTTTATTCATTCGTGAGATGTGGGCTTTACTGGCTAGGCCAGCATTCATTGCCCAGAGAGCAGTTAAAAAGCAACCACATTGCTGTAGGTCTGGAGTCACATGTAGGCCAAACCATGTAAAGATGGCAGTTTCCTTCCCTAAAGGACTTTAGTGTACCAGATGGGTTTTTCTGACGGTTGACCGTGGATTCACGCTCGTCATTAGACTCTTAATGCCAGATTTTTATTGAATGCAAATTCCACCACCATGATAATACCAGAAATAAAAACAGAAATTTTTGGAAAAGCTCAGCAACTCTGGCAGCATGTGGGAGAGAAATCGAGTGGAGAGAAGTCGAGTGACCCTTCCTCCGCTAGGAAAATGTCGGTTTACATGCAAAACATTTGGGGAGGGGTGGGGGGGGTGGAGGGGTGGTGCGGTGCGGGGGGGGCGGGAGGCGGGGGCACGGTTGGTGGGGTTCGTGGCTGGTTGGTGGTTAAGGAGTAAACGATAGGTGGTGATAGAGCCCAAAGAGAGTGAAGAGTAGTTCGACTGATAAAGGAATGAATTTTGTCCTGTTGGACTCCAAATAACTGCTGACAGTTTTCTTCTTGTAATTGTTTCACCAGCCATGAGTTTAACTGATGAAGGACAAAACCATTTTTTTACAATGTAAAAGTTCTTTTCTCTCACCTTTTAGGTATGAGCATTTTAAATCATGCTTGTGTCAAGTACTAGGTCTTTTGCGCGGTAAGGATTCTGATTCAGCAGCCAAGGTATGAGCTGTTTAATTCTTGATATATCACAGATATAAGAATAAATGTTTTAATTTTTATATAGGAAAACATTTTTAAATTTGGGATTCATTATTATTGTTCAGAGTATGCATCTAATATATTTGCTTCTAACAATATATATTTTAAATAATATATATGATTATGGGGACTGCTAAACTATCAATCTAGTGATTTGGTAATGTCCTGGGTCATTGGTTCAAATCCTGTCATGGCAGATGGTGAAATCTGAAATCAACAAATATCTGGAATTAGGAGTCTAATGATGACTGTGAAAATATTGCCGATTGTTGGAAAAATCCATCTGGTTCACTAGTGTCCTTTTAGGGAAGGAAACTGCCATCCTTACCTGGTCTGGCCTACATCTGACTCCAGACCCACAACAATGTGGTTGAAACTTAACTGCCATCTGGGCAATTAGGGATGGGTAATAAATACTGGTCTGGCCAGTGACGCCTAGATCATGTGAATGAATATAAAAGTGTTATTTCAGTATCTACATAATTGCTTAAATCTTAAAAGTTTATGTCCTGGCTTGAAGGAAATGTATACAATGATTTTCCTAATTCTGTGTTCTCGTTTTCACCATACATTTAGTGTTTTTGCAGTGCTGAAGGTTTTCCATCTCAGTTCAGTTTCTCTAACACAACTGCACTGCATGCATCTTGTTCAGAATGCTGCAGGCTGAGTCCTTATTTGCATTTTTGTTGCCTTCATTCTTTCGAAGTTTTAATGGCTTTCTGTGCTCCTCTAATTTGACTTGAAAGTCCTGATTTTCTCTTTCAAATACCAAACCCTTCCCATTCTACTTTGGCAATCTTTTAATTCTTTGAAGCCAGGCTATTCCGTATCTTTGGTTTCCTTTGCACCACCATTGATGGCTACTCATTTAACCACAGCACACCTGCCCTTTCCTCTATATGAGTCATCCTGCCTTTCTACCTGTTTCATGGATTTCAGAAAATCTATTCTAAGGCACTTGCTCTTCTATTGGACTTTTTCTTTTGCCTTCACCCCATTTTACACATTCCCAATTCCTTAGTGACCTCTATTCCCTTAATGTATGCTTTGGGACATCTTGATGTGCATGAAAAAACATGTTACAGCACGACTGTGATGCTGCTTGTCACTGTACAATTACACTAATCATTATAGCTTAATCTTTTGCATTCATTTGGTTTAGACTTCACCCATTTGCCATTGTTTCCCTGCTTCCAAAAACTTGCTGAAAATTCTTTTATCTCTTTTACTTGCTCTATTTTGCCTCCTTTTTTTTATGCCCAATAAAGTGTTTTCAGGTGTCTTTCCATTTTTTGAGGAGTGCAAGGGATATAAGACCATAAGATATGGGAACACAAGTAAGCTATTCAGCCCATCACGTTCGTTCTGCTATTTAATGAGATCATAGCTGATCTGGTAACTCTCCGTTCCATTTGCCTGATGTTTCTGCTATGGCCCTTGATTTCCCCTACTAATTAAAAATCTATCCATCTCAACCTTGAATATATTAATGATCTTCCAGATACTGACGATATTGAGGATATGGGGATGGCATGAGAAAATGGCATTGAAATTGATGATTAGCTACAATTTAGAATGGAAGGACTTTGCAGCTACTAGTGACAACAATAAAAAGCTACCATTCTACAACATTTGGATAACTGTTGGAAAATTAAGCACAATAGGTTTGTGGCTAGACTTATCAATTTGCACTGGAAAGTGACCTTGAATCAGTATGCCTATTGTGCAAATATGAAATATTTGTTAATGTAAATTTATGATGTTTCTAACTTGGTGTTTTCACAAGTGCCCTCAATTCTGCAATGCAAAATGTCTGTTTAAATCTATTTCTCTGGGTACCCTTTTTCTTTATTCTTGAATGGGTTGCTGACATTGTTGGCAAGACCAGCTCTTGTGGCCTATCCCTAATTGCCCTTAAAGTAATTGGTGTAATGAGCTATTTCCAAGGGCAATTAAGAGTCAGCCACATTACAGTGGTTCTGGAGTCACAAGCAAATCAGCTGGCATTAAGATGGTAGATTTCTTTGCATACAGGACATTAATGAAGCAGTGGGTATTTACAATAATCTGTAGTAGTGTCATGGTCATCATTACTGAGACTAGCTTTCACTTCCATATTTTATTTAATTAATTGAACAGATGTGGTTGCAGGCTGTTCTGTGAACAGGGTGGTCTTCCATGGGGGTGGACTTGCTTTGTGGCCATATTTTAATTTTCTAAAGCAAATATCTTTTCAGAGGATACTTCAGTTTAGCTGGAGATTCCCTTGTGGCCCCCTCTGACAGTGCAGCTACTGTGAAGATCAGTAGCAAAAGGAATCCATCCTTGTGACAGTCAAAGAAGTGACCAATTGGGAGACTGACTCACTCCCAGAAAATCACCCTAGTGATTGTTACTGCCAAGTGCCTGGTTGGAATCTAGAAATGGACCATTGGGAGTAGAATTTTTTGATGATATCTGGCAAATTTAGTTTTGAAAATTTTAAATGAATCAGCATCTTCATTTTGGGGGCAAGTTCCAGATTTCCACCACCCATTGCTAAGAAGATGCTCTAGGATTTCACACCAAATTACCCAATTCTGATTATAACTTAATGCTTTATATCCTGCTCTCCAGATGGGATCTGACCAAAGGTGCAAGTTAAAGGAAAAATATTGGTCCCTCATCAGTGTTATTCTGATGCAAAGTAAATAACTTTACCTATAAAAACATGCCACATGCAGAGTTTATACACACAATAAACTTAATTTGAAGTTCACAAACTTGATATTTCAAAATTTTATGTCTCTTTCTTTCTGTATTCAGAATTTTCACAATTAATTTTATTTGATTAGATCCAATTTGATATTTCAATAAGGTGCAATCCCAAGTAACTACACAGTCTGTTATGTAGTATGGACAACATGGGCCTTTTCTATGATAGGCAATTAATTTTAAAGCATGAAGCATGCTTGTAATAAAATGCAGCCAGAGACCATTTGGTCTTCAGGGATATGTATCCAAGAGTGCACTGATGAAGACAGAGAAATGGAGGCTATATTTAAATTGGTGCTATAATAATTCAATATCTTGTTGAACCTTAAAAGCCTTATCTTATAAAAATGTATAAGTTCATGCCAATTTTCTCTCCCTCAGATTCTTGAATTGCTACTTGCCTTCTGTTCGGTGAGCAGCCTTAAGCAAATATTGTGTCATGCAATGTTTGAAACCTCTTCTGAGCAAAGAATTACAGTAGCAAGCCTCACATCACACGTTAAACCATCCGAACCAATTGTTACTCTTATCCAATGGTCAAGTCAACCACTAGAGAACACTGAGAGATGTTCCTCGCTGGCTCTAGTTCTACTGAAGGAGCTATTTGAGGTACAGAATCTTTGAATATACCTAAATGTACAGTTAAAAGGGGAAGGAAGAGCTACTTAAAATATACTTGTAATGGGCAATGACCAGTAAATTATACATTGTGTTGGATGGTAGATATTTCATTATTCTAAGTAAGGATATATTCCATTAAAAATGACTGAGAAGAGTGAACTGTTAGTTAAGGATGGCGTCATATTGGAAGAAAAGACTCTCATTTCTATGAAGGTGAAAGGTTGATCAGAAGATTGAGAACATTTTCTCAAACAAGCAAAGAATGGTTAAAGATACTTGCTCCATTTGGCTTACTTCATTCCTTAGCACCAAATCTAGCAATGCCTCCCTCCTTCCTTGGTCCACCAACATACTGATCAAGGAAAATCTCCTGAATATTTTTCTGGAATTCTTTCTCCACTTTTCCTATTAGTCAATCATTATCCTAATAAATATTTGGGTAGTTAAAGTCCCCTAGTTTCACCACTCAGTGATTTCCCTGCAGATTTACTCTAGTAAACTAATTACTTCAATTTGATTCTATCTTTTATCACTATAATTCTTTTCATCATGTTGCATTTACCCCACTCGTTTTGTTTTTTTTTATTTTTTAACTTTTTGATCAAGTTACTTGACTGGAAAGGGAAACTTCAGGTGCAATTAAATATTATGATTTTAGTCTTGGTGATAAAGAAGTTCAGGACCTTTTTGCACATATTCTTGGGTGTGAAGTAGTGGGGATAGTGTTTAGATATTTTCAACTAGAGAGTTGAAAGTGGAGAAAGTAACCAGACTTTCTTTATATTTCAGAATGACTCTGGAATGATGAGCAGTTTATGAAAATTTGTCCCAAGCTTAGTTTAATTCTGTGAATAAGCCTTATTGTCTGTAACACTATCCAGGAAATGATGGATTGCACGCTTTGGACTACAGTTGCACCATTTATGGAGCTGCTTTTGCCTGTTATCATGGAGCAATTACAGACTCCGAATCATGCTCCGGAGGACGCATTAACAAAAAAATATTATGATAGAATTGCAAAAATTCTTGACATTCTCTTAGATATCCTTTTTTGATAAAATACAATTATCTGAAGTGTGAACACTTAAATATGAAGTGTCAGAATTGAAAATTCCAAACTCTCTCTCACTTTTGTTTCATTCATTTCTGGTAATTGAAATTTGCCCTTATTGATTAAATGTACATTATGAATGGTTTTCAGTCTGAGGAATTTCAACATTGAGATTTTCATCAATTCCTGATGAATGATAATATTCATTCTTTCAGTTCCTCTTTACAAGTAAATAAGCTTCCGTACTGTGATTGAGGGCTGAAAAGATGTGATCATTGATTATTTATTTGAATGAGTTCATATGTGTATGTATTAAAACACAATGTTGTTTAATTTGTTGCTTTCTAGTTGAAGGATATAGTCATGTGTTCTGGACCAGACCAGACCACCTCAAAATATACTAAGAAGGTAGCCTAGACCCTAACTCTTTCTTATTTTAAAGGTAAATGTGAGCTGCTGTGTTCCAGATGCAATTGATTAGTCAAACTACTCGATGTTAAGCAAAACACACAATTTATTCAAACACTATAGTTAAAATACTACAAAAGAAAGAGGAACTTGGGATAACTTAACTCTACTGGAAAACTTAACAGAATAATAGATTATTTTATTACTAAACAGTAACTCTTCCAACATTATAATATCCCATAAACACATCCTTGGCAAAAGGAAAATTCAACAGAGTTGTCTCACATGCAACTCCGGCAGCTCAGGGGGGAAAGCATCCAGAGAAAACTCAGTGTAGCAGCTGGGAGAGATTCACTGACTTTCAACCCTGCTGAGACCCCAGCAGGTCTGAAAAAAACTAAAAAGCCTAGTTCTGAGAGAGCTTGACCCCACCCATTCAGGCTGCCTCAATTCCGAACGTTTGTAAAAATAAACTCTAAGGCCTCAAGCTGTTTACTCTAGTAGAATGGTTTTAGTAGACTGCTCGGCACCTCTACCTCAAAAACTCTCTTCAAAATAAAAGGACAAAAGAACTTCTTAAAAGCCGCATCATTGTCACAAATTAAAGACTTAATTTATAGATTTTTAGGTTCCATCAATTGTATTATAATTTGTAGTGTGCACCTTGAGTATGTTCCTTGTTTTTAACCTTTTGTATCAATTGGCATATTGTGCTGTTGTGTGTCTCACCTTTATAATTAAGCTTGACTATTCTCTTGAGTTATGCGTGTTGGAAACAGTTACTTCAGAACTTAGCTGAGTGCTCATAAAACATCTTGTATGGAAAATAATCAAATTCATCAGGGTTGAATAACAGCTTAATTTATTGATTCTAAAACTTATATATAAGTGGATGATTTATTAAGAATTGCTTTTTTGGGACATTACAATTTCGTATTTTTGCCTGACTGGAGAACAAAATGACTTGAGAATCAGTCACAGACTTTACAATTGGAGCATATAAAACATGCAGTGAGAAAGACGAAAACTAAACGCTGTCCTTTTCCTTAATTACATTTTACTGCTGTGTGGAGATGATACAGTGACGTTGCAGGTTGCGAAGGTACTCACAGCCAGAAACTGTGTCTCGATTCTGGAATATCAATTCACGTACAATAGAATGGAAATTGGTTACAGGAGCAATATTGCAGATGTGGAGCTATGGTAAGAGTTGGGAATGTCTTGCAAAGTTGTTTTTTGCTAAAACGCAACCAATATGTTAAAATATGAAATACTATAACTGTTTTAAGTAAATATGTGTAAAAATGTACAATGCTTTAACACAGAGATATTTGTAAACCATTTTAAATATAACCAGAAATAATTTCTCCTTAAGAATGGTGGCTATGAGCACATTTTAATTCATTTATATTTTTACTCACTGGCACTAATTGAGCAATTTGTAGCAGTGGTTGGAGTGAGATTTCTTAATCATCTAAAAGTTTGACATGGCACAACAAGGAAAGATATTCCATTTTCTACATGCTGTTCATGCATCATTTATTAAATACAAAAATTGAAGAAGTATAAGTAGAATTAGTGCTATATTTGTAAGTAGAAGGATTTATTAGTTAACTATATTGATTTTAAAATCTTCAATTAAATGGCTTTACCACAAACTTTCAACAATCTTTTACAGCTCTATCTTTCCTATTATCATCCTGTTTCACTTGCTGTGGCGTTTTATAAATCTCCAGAATCAATCTGAGCAGTGATGAATAGTGTTGAACTACCCAGTTCTAAATATCCAGCATTCCTTGTCGAAAGCCCTCCCAGAAATATGTTTTCTAGCTGCACAGGGGTAGGTAGCCAGAAGAGACAGATTTAAAGTGACTTTCATTTTGTGCTTGAATGAAGTAGCTTGGAAAGCTGGTAGAACCTGATTCTGTAGTTAGTTTCAAATTCAAAATTAGCTAATGCTTGATTCGAAAAGCCATTGTAGGACTGTGAAGAAACTAGTGGTATGGGATTAATTGAATTGCTCTACCAAGTAATGATGGCTGAATGGCGACCTCATGTCCTGTATTGTTCACATTCTCAGAAATGGCATTTGTTGGATAACCGAAAGGTAATAAGCAATTAATCTTGCTATCTGCTTTTAAAAAAAAATGTTTAGAGGATAGAGATGTGAATTGCCAAAGAGTGAGTTTGTTGTTATTAGGTAGAGGAAATACATATGAAACTTCATTGAATACTCCTTTGTTTATGTTTACTCGAAATGTATATTGAAGTTAACTTATGGCCAAATTATATAACTCTAGAATTAGCTTGAAACTGACATTTTTCTAAACATGTTTGTTTCCTTCCTCCTACTGTACCTTGACAGTAAAATAGGTGCAGATGTTGTCTTGAAGACTCTTAGCCTTATGAACAGACTCAAGCAGCTGGTATCAAACATGGAAGCCAGCTTTTATAAGATTTTGCAGGTAAAACTGTGACTGAAATGTTAAATATTTTTTATTTCTACTTTTACAATCAATACCTTCACTCTACTAAGGATTAGTCTGGAGCTATGCATACTGATGACCAGGGATGTGCCTCAAGGATTGGTGCTGATTCCATTTTTTTTTGTCATTCATATAAATGATTTGAATGTGAATATAGGAGGAATGGCTAGTAAGTTGGAAAATGACACCGAAATTGGTATGTAGTGGACAGTGAAGAAGGTTATCTGAGTACAATGAGACCTTGATCAGATGGGCCAAGGTGTGGCAAATGGAGTTAATTTAGATAAATGTGAGCTATTGCATTTTGGTAAGGCAAATCCGGGCAGGGCTTATATGGTTGATAGGGTTCTGGGGAGTGTTACTGATCAAAGGGACCTTGGAATGCAGTTTCATAGTTCCTTGAAGGTGGAGACAGGGTAGTTAAGAAGGCGTTTGATATGCTTGCCTTCATTGGTCAGTGCATTGAGTATAGGAGTTGGGATGTCATGTTACAGCTGTACAGGACATTGGCTAGGCCACTTTTGGAACACTGCATTCAATTCTGGTCTCCCTGCTGTAACAGGGATGTTAAACTTGAAAGGGTATAGAAAAGATTTACAAGGATGCTGCCAGGGTTGGAGGGTCTGAGCTATAGGGAGAGGCTGAATAGGCTGAGGCTAATTTCCCTGCAACTTCACAAGCCTGCAGCCACTCGATGACAAATACGCTCACGGATTAAAGACCCCATTCCCGCAACATGCAGAACCAACATAGTTCACAAAAGACCATGTAACAACTGCCACAAACATTACATTGGACAGTTAGGAAGGAAACTATCCTTATTTTTTCTTTATTCATTCACGGGATGAGGGCATCACTGGCCAGGCAGCATTTATTGCCAAACCCTAATTACCCAGAGGGCAGTTAAGAGTCAACAACATTGTTGTGGGTCTGGAGTCACATGTAGGCCAGACCAGGTAAAGATGGCGGTTTCCCTCCCTAAAGGACATGAGTGAACCAGATAGGTTTTTCCGACAATTGACAATGGATTCATGGTCATCACTACATTCTTAATTCCAGATATTTTACTGAATTCAAATTGCACCATCTGTCATGGCAGGATTTGAACCCAGGTCCCCAGAACACTGTCTGGGTCTCTGGATTAATACTGCAGCGATAATACCACTAGGCCGTTGCCTCCCCATCGGAATACATGAACATCAGCCAGCAGTAAAACGGCATGATGGACTCTCCTTAATATCGGTACACTCGGACAATGAAGGCCATCAGTTTAACTGGGACAAGGTAACCATTGTAGCCCAAGCCAAATATAGACACGCACCGGAATTACTAGAAGCATGATTCTCCACCCGTAATGCAATCAACAAACATAGAATTGGACCCCGTATACAAACCCATACAGATCAAAACCGGAAATGACACTACTCACCATAACAGATCAGACAGTATAAATTCCAAGCAGAGTAGAATAACATTGCTTCATTGGAGGCTGCACTGATGATGTCACCTAGCATGGTGACGAAATGTCTGAATGAAAGCAAGCCAGCTCAGTGAGCTAGTCAACAACCTCAACCCAACCCGAGCTACAGATCTTTGTCAAAACTTTAAAGGTACCGAATAGGCTTACCAAATGTTGGAAACCAGGTAGCTAGAGGACCTGTGGACTCTGGGAATTTATGGAGGCAGAAATGGTATTTGTAAGAAGCCAGAGCATGTGGAATAGTGTATTAATGGGAAATATAGAGATAAGAAAGCTTATAGAAATTGTATGGCAAAATCATGAACACAAGCAACAGGGCAGGTACAACCATGGCTCTTTAATGAATTAGACTGAAGATTCCTCAGAGGCTTTACTGTGTCTGAACCCTTGAATTAATATTTAATTCAAAGCAAAATCATGTACACAAAGTAAAAGAATGATGAAATTATGAAAGAGTAAAATAAAAGAAAGTTTATTTTCAATTTTAATTTCCAACTGTACCAAGAAATCTGAGAAACATAATTTCAGTCCCAATAAGACTGTTTAACAATAAATAAAACTAACTATATTGTTAATAATTAATTCACTCCTTAATGGATAAATCCTAATATTTTCTGGCATGTTTAGTAATTACAAGGTAAACTGGTGACAAGGTTGTCAGCACTCACTTGTTATGGAGTAAATCAGACAACTTCTGGTGTCCAAACACATACATTCAAATGGAAAATCAGAAAGTTGTTTAATTTTCCCCCTCTACTTTTTTTAAAAAAACTCACTCAATCAGTATGTTGCTGGCGATGCAAACATTCAAACATATGAAGGATGCAAGGATGAAGTAATTGGCCACTGGATGCACCCACAAAATTAGGGCTTCTGGGGTTGGGAGTAATTAGCTTGATTTGAGGATTGAATAGTAGGAGATCATAGGAATAATCTGAGTGTTTAGGTTGGTCCTGCAAGGAATAGTCCTTGCCCCTCAGCTTTGTGTATTAAGCTTCATATTATTTCTAAAGAGCCATGACACAAATAATTTTAATTTGTACTTCATAGCAACATGTTTAGATCAAAAGAAGCATTAGATTTCTCAAATCAGGCCAGATAGTTGACCACCTTCTTTCTGAGAGATCTTTTGTTAATTAGTTTAACAAAGGTTTGTGGACTGGGAGAAATTTTTTGTAGTGAAGATCACCAGGTGTCAGTGTTGAGACACTTGATCCCCCTGATATATATCAATGACCTAGTTCCTGGTGAACTAGTCACAATTAGCAGATTATATGAAACTTGTGAAGAGGATAGTGTAGAACTTCAAAAGGACAGATTGAACTGCAGGCAAAGTGGCAAATGAAGTTTAGTGTGGAGAAATGTGATATGATTTATTTCAGTAGGAAAAACATGGAGAGATAATATAAAATGAAGGGTACAACTCTAAATGATATGCAGGAGCTGAGATGCCTTTCTGTATGTGTAAGTCATTGAAGATGACACCACGGGTTAAAAAGAGTGTTAAGAAATCATTACTTATCTGAGGCTTTAACAGTGAGGTGTACATACAAGAGGAAGAAAGTTATGTTGAACTTGAGTAATGAGAGAGTTTGGCTTCACCTAGAATATTGTATCCAGCTTTGGGTGTGACACTTTAGGAATGATCTAAAGACTTTCAAGACAGTGCAGAAAAGATTCATAAGATTCATTCCAGAGGTGAAGAACTTCTATTTGAGAGAGGGATTGGAGAAATTGAGACTATTTTCCTTGGAGAGGAGAAGCTGAGAGGAGCTATTCAAAGACATGAGGATATTGGTAGAGTCTGTAGAGAGAAACTCTTTCCTCCGAGTAAAAAGAATGAAAGTAATTTGAAGTAATTGACAAAAGCAACATGAGGAAACTTTGTGTAACATTTGATTAAGGTCTGGAATGCACTGCCTGAAATCGGTAGAAGCATCTCAGAGTATTCAAAAGGGCCTTAGTTTGTTATCTGAAAATCAAGAATATGGAGGGTCACAAGGAGACAGTGAGGAAATGGCAATAGATTAATTTCTCATTTGGAAGGCAGGTACAGACACGATGGGCTGAATGACCATCTCCTGTGCTGTAATAATCTGATCTGTGATTTATTTCCAGCATTAACCTATTTCTATTTCACTTTGAATCTCTTCAACATTTTCCTAGTGAGCCATCTGCTGTGATAATTCTTGTACATGTTGACCACCCCACCTTTGTAAAGAAATTCTTTGTAAATTGTTTATTATATATAGTTTTCATAATCCTGAATCTTTGCCATCTTATTTTTGCCTTTTCAAGAGGAAAAAGAGAGTTGTAAATTTTAACAACTAAGCACGAACTTTATGGTTATGCAGTTTTTAAAATACTTTTGCAGGATCAACGACTTGCTTCATTTTTGTCGTTTGCTTTGACATCCGAAAACAGAGAGCAAGTACAGTTTGCATTAAAGATCCTGTTTGAGGCAGCACCTTTGCCTGATTTTCCTGCTCTAATGTAAGTGTTACAAGTGTTGTTTGTGTAGTGTGATCTCCATGACCGTGCACCATCAGTTTGATAGCCAATGCAAATTAATAAAAGTATATACTGTAGACTTCAGTTGCATTTTACAGGACGTCACTACAGCTAAAATATAGGGCACAGGAATGGCATACAAAGGTAAGGGGTGGATTCTCCCGACACTGAAGGATAAGTGTTGAGAAAGTAAGGGTAAAATAATGATTTCAGTCTTACGAAAAGTCAATTTTCGTAACTGATTGCAAATACGGTGTATGAAGTCATGTGTTTGAGGGATGAATTTAGGCATTGACTTTGTGGTGCTTGCCCTGAGTGAGCACTGATGAGCGAATACTTTACAAGAAACTCAATGTCGGGATTCTCTTTCCTGGCATCTGATTGCAAATAGATTTCAGACAGTGAATATGGAGTGCTTCCGTTTGCTTTGTTTGATGCCAATAGGTTGTCAAAATCTCTTGCCCTTAAATAAATAATGAACCACTGCCTGGTAGACTTTGATCTTTGATCTTTGTTCTGAGACAACTTGTGCTCTTTCCATAGTGTGTGAATAAGCCCGGTCAGATGCTGAGCTTGAGTTTACCAGGCGATGGTGGATTTCATCATCCTTAATGGTATTATTGGAGAGGATGCTACCAAGATACTAAAATTCTGTACTGAATATAGGGGTCTGTTGTTGACCATAACTGGAGTTGAAGTTTGTGGTCATAAGTAGATTTTTACAAGACCTCTGACTCTTCAGACTTATTGTCAGGCAACAGTGCTGGAAGCTAGGATAAAGTGATCAACAAGCAGCAGTGGGAGCACAGTCATCGGCAAATCAGAGTTCACTGAATGGCTGTTCAGTAACCTTTGTGCAAGCTTTCAGCATTTGCAATTTGAGTTTGCTGTCTCCTGAATTGAATATCTAATCCTGCATCAAGATCTTTTTTGTGCATAGGGAAACATAAGACCATAAGAAATAGGAACAGGAGTAGGCTGTTCAGCCTCTTGAGCCTGCTCCGCCATTCAATAGGATCATGGTTTATCCATCATTGCTCACGTCCACTTTCCTACCCTCTCCCCATAACCCCTTTGATTCCCCTACTGATCAAGACTATCGATCTGACCCTTAAATATACACAAGAACTCTGCCCCTACAGCTCTCTGTAGTAAGGTTTTTCAAAGAGACTCAACCCTCTGATAGAAGAAATTCCTCCTCATCTAGTCTTAAATTGGCAGCCCTTTATTCTGAGATTATACCCTCTGGTCCTAGACCATCCTATGAGGGGAAGCATCCTCTCAGCACTTACCCTGTCAACCCCTTAAAAATCCTATGTTTTTCAATGAGATAAACTCTCATTTTCTTAACTCCAGTGAGTTGAGTCCCAACCTGTATAGCCTTTGCTCATAAGGCAATTCCTCTATACCAGGGATCACCTAGAGATCCTTCTCTTAACTGCCTCAAATAAAATAATATCTTTGCTTAAATAAGGGGAGCAAAACTTCTCACAGTAGTCTAGATGTGTTCTCACTAGCATCTTGTACCATTGCAGTACAACTTTCCTGCTCTTATACTCCAACCCCCTTGCAATAAGAGCCAACATTCCATTAGTCTTTGATTACTAGCAGTATTCTGTTTTGTGCAGAAATATCCCCAAGCCCCTTTGTGTTGCAGTTTTGTGCAGTTTTTCTCTATTTAAATAACATGTTCTTTTGTTCCCCTTTCTTTCTCCAACTTTAATGCATGTAGCAAACAAAATAAGATCCTTCAGGTCAGCAAGTTAAGCCTAACAACTCAACTTGGCTATTACATGATTGGTGAAATTTAGCTACGATTCCAACCAGCAGTGTCTGTCCCTGGAAGTGCCCAAGATTCAATCCTTGCGCAGTGTTGTTCTTAGAAGTTCTGCTGCTGAGTTATTCCGGTATTGAATTCTTATGCAATTTTCACATGTTTCAGATTTGTGATGTGACATTATTGATCCTTTAGATTTTTTTCATGTCCAACGTTGATTCCACTTCTGGAGTCCTCAAGTCTGTAGCTTGCCTTCTTATCAGAGGTAGCTCCCCTGATCCTTGTTACATTCAGCGTTGGCTGTCTGTTTGAAACAGCCTGTTCTACAATTTACCACTTTTACTTCTCTAGGCAGTCTTAATTTCCCATTTGTCATGGGGCAGC